ACTCCTATTTCTGCATGTTTCAGGCGTTGAGATGACTTGGTATTTTACTTAGAGTGCTAATATTATAAGATAATTTTCATATAGTACAGCAGTATTCAGTGAATATATTTATGCAGAAAGGAATAAGAAGGTCAGGGAGATATTTATAGACTTATATGATATTTCATAATGAACCATATCATGTCCAAAGTATCTTAAGTTTTACATCTGTGAATGACTTCAAAATAACAAATTAATGTACCTTATGTATAATTTTGTGTTAGTAAGAAGTATAGTCATATAACATTCGTGAGGTAAAAGAAGATAAAAAGACCTGAGTAAGTGCGTATTATATGGTTGTATATGTAAATAAATTTAATAAAGTGGAGTGTATATGTAGGTATACCATAATATAACATACACTGACTTTAATGTTGGTTACAGACAACTTTCTTGGTTACTATGAATCATTATTACCTTCAAGATACTAATGTAAGTTATTGTTATCAATGACAGCCACAGGGGTACAGTGAACTAGCTTAGAGTTAATATCTCAGTTAGCGGCCTCCGTAGTCTAGAGGTAACGTTCCCACCTCATGACTCGTAGTACGCGGGTTCAAATACCTGGCGGAGGTCGTCGAATTTTTAAGGGCGGAAAAATTCAGGGAGCAAGTCCTCCGGGAGGGACTTTAAGCCGTGGGTTCCGTGTCATAGTTTTACGGCACGTAAAAGAACCTCATATCTCCAAAGGAGGTCACTGAGCCAAATTGCGGACGTTTCCCGCCCAACAGCAGTCTCTAATACCTCTGGTAGATGGGGGAAGCATTATAGATACCTCTCAGCCAGTAGAGCCGGTCTCGCTGGCTGGGCGGGACTGATGGTAAGTACCACTACCGGTAGGATATAGAGACTGGTAGAAATCATAGAGGGAAGCACAATGGACCAATACAGGTCTAAGTGCATGGGGAAACCCACCCTCTCCAAATAACTAACTAATATGTCAGTTATCAGGAGTTACATTTTTTATTTCGGATCAAGAGCAATTTAATATTTTGGAGGCACATAATATCAGCCTAATGAGACAAAAAAGTGGGAGATTTACTTTCTTGCACTGCGTTACATGTTGCATTGTTGGTTACACCTGTACAACTGTACCAACATCCCCTTTCATTTATGTTGTTCATATCATGGTGGAAGTTTTGCAATTTCGATTTTGAATCATAACTCAGTTCTGCCCCATGTGTGAACCCCATCTCCTCATTCCATCAGCAACTATAGCATGGTGGGCAATGATGTCCTGTCCTTATATGTATATTTCTTAAAACTTAACCTAATACATTTCACCAACTTCTGAAAAGTGTTTCTTCTGTCTGATATCCAGTTGTGAATAGGAGACATTTGTGTAGAGCATAAATTTCTTAGTTTATTTCAGATCATTACAGACATTTTCAAGGCACAACACACTTTTCATAATCAATTATTTTTTCTTGCATGCCTAATTTTTCAGGGTGTGGAAAATATTCATCATATTTTCTCTACATTTACAAAGTCCCTATGTATTTTCTTCACCATTCAGTCATTTTTGCCAACTGCTTTTACTTTCCTTACAATTGTCCTTTCCAGAGGAATATTTCGTCATTGCAGAACTGAAGTATTTATGAAGAATACTTTCCTTTCTTGCATGAACAACTCTTTTCTGCAGGTTTCAATTATGTGGACCTTACTCTTAGATATTTCTTTTCAAACTTCATAAAGATATTTAATTAGACCTCATATTAATAATCACCATACATAAACATGCTATGTTAAGTGGGTCTCTTTTCACCCCATCAAGGTGCATTCTCAGGTTGTGGATGGAGGAGATGGGAAGGGTAGCTGCAAATATATTGAATAAGCAGTCATGGTCAGCTGACAAGGAGTGGTCCTCCAGTTTGGGAGTTGGATGTGGAGCTAAATCCTAACTGTGAAAAATCAATCTTTTTTTCAAAATATTGTACTAGGCCTCAGAGTTGGACAGATTTTTTGGAATGACCTAAGCTAAGGACAGTGGACATGAGATTTGGCACATGGATAATAAGGAGCTTCTATAGGGCCAGAGTCACTGATAACAGTTGCAGAAGAAATAGCATAGTATAAATTAGATTTACTGGGAGTACAGGGAGTCAGATGGGACAGGGGTGGCATTGAACCAGCAGCCAGTTATACATTTTTCTGTGGAGGTGGAAATGAGAATCATGAATTAAGTACATGATTTTTTTGTACATAAGAGAACCATATCAGCAGTTAAGAGGGTAGAGGGGTTGTGCCATAGCTCAAGCGATTAGTCGCTGGCTTCCCACCGCAGTGGCCCGGGTTCGATCCCGGGTCTGGTCAAGTGGGATTTGTGGTGGACAAAGTGGCACTGGGGCAGGTTTTCTCTGAGTACTTCGGTTTCCCCTGTCAATCTTCATTCCACTAATTGCTCCACAATCACCCTCACCTCTCAGCTGGGGCTGGTACAATAGGCCAGAAGTGGCTGCAGTACAAGGGACTTAGTCCCACCCCATAGCAATAAAAGAAATAAGAGGGTAGAGTCTGTTAGTGATAAAATATCATATATATAATGCTGAGAAGTTACTGGTGTCATGTCATTGTTCTGAATGTTTATGCCTCAACTAACTAATTCCATGGAGCCCAGTTCATCATGAGGAGCCACCAGTTGTTCAGTTACTCAGTAATTTCCCAATGTGCTATAGAGCCCAAAGATTCATTACTGTGTTCACAAGAACACACCACTGGTCCCTGTCCTGAGCTGGATTAATCCAGTCCATGCCACACTATCCTATTTCTCTAAGATCCATTTTATTATCCCACATATGTCTAGGTCTTTCTAATGGTCTCTTTCCATCCAGCTTTCCTACCAGAATCCTGTATGCATTCTTATTTGGCCCCATTTTTGGCAAAGAGAACAAATTATGAAGCTCCTAATTATGCAATTTTCTCTAACCATGTATTTTTTATCCCTCTTCAGTCAAGATATTCTCTTGAGCACCCTGTTCTCAAATACCTTCAGTCTATGTCCTTCCCTTAAAGTCAGATACCAAGTTTCACATCCATACAAAACAACAGGCAAAAATATAGTTTTTTATCTTTTAATTTTTATATATTTACATATTTTATTGTAGACAACAGATGAGAAGGCAAAAGCTTCTGAACTGAATGGTACCAAACATTACCCAAATTTGCTGTGCTCTTAGTTTCCTCATGAATTAAGTTTTGATTTGTTACTGTCATTCCAAAATATTTGAACTTTGCTACATTTTCAAAGGATTATTAGCTGTCTTTAATGTTATGTTTTTCCCTGCCTCCTAATGATGAAACATCAACATGTACTTAGGTTTCTCTGAGATTACTTCTCGACCAATGTCCTTACTAGCATCAGTTAGAGCTTCTGTGTTTTTCTTTGCATTATATATATTACCTTCCTACAGATTTACATCATCAGCATAGACAAGAAACTGATGTGTCCCATTTAATTTCAGTCCCACACAGTTTTCTTGGACCTTCCTAATGACATATTCTAAACAAAATTCAATAGCAATGGTGATAAAGCATCTCCTTGCTTTAGACCATTTGAATAGGAAGTATACCAGGCAAATCTTGACATACGCACTATTATAGGTTTCATTTAAACACATTTTATTAAGCCTGTCTAGTTTCATGGTTACCTGAAACTCAGTGATAATATTGTACAGTACTTCCCTCAGAACTGGATCACAAGCTTACTTGAAGTCTATGAATAGCTCATTTACTGCCTAATTGTACTCCCATTCTTTCACCGGTATCTGACAAATGCAAAATATCAGGTAAACAGGTGGCAGGATAATATTAAAATGGATCGTAGAGAAATAGGAATGTGTTGGTATGGACTGGTTTAATCTGACTAAGGATAGGGACCAGTGGTGGGCTCTTGTGGATGTTCCAGTGGACCTTCAGGTTCCACAAAATGTTGGGAAATTCTTGTATAGCTGAGTGACTGGCAGCTTCTCAGGAAGGATTCAGTTGAATGTAGTTAGTTATACACAGACCCTTGCTTTATGTGAAATTGCATGGTCTTGGGCAGGGTACTTGATGACATCACTAAACTTTGTCATAAATCTTATTCATTGATATGAAATTGGGTCTCCTCATTGACAGGAAACCTATTACAGTTACTGCTTGCTCATAACTACATAGTTGATGTAAATAAGGACTAGAGTGTGGGGGGAATTAATTACCTCACTGGAAATGCTATGGGACACATCACTCTGAGGTGCAAAGGGCCCTATTTCCTGGGATATAACTGTGTAATCCATTGAAAGTCAACCGACTTTCTGGAGGAACATGTCACCATCTTCAGGGTTGAAGAATTAGCTGAGGTAGCAAATTGAGCCTGTGAGCTCTGATTGCTTCCTTCATGATGATTCATTGCTTATTCTGCAAACCTGAAAATGGGGGAGGTAGGTACCTCTGAAACGCCTGTTTCAAGGAACTAAATGCTGTTATGTGGACAGTGAATAATTACCCTCTGAGAACCTTAAATCATACTATGAGATAGGGATGGAAATATGCGCCTGGTACTAATTGAAGGCATGCATTTTCCATTGCACCTAGCGTGTCAATGTATGTTTTGGCTGCAGATCCATTTCCTATAACACTGCAAATTAATTATGTGTATAGTATTCTCTTTATGATGTGTTGCCCCCACCCAGGATGTCATCATTTTGCATAATATTGCAATACATTTGCTGCATTAATTCAGAACATGCATTATGTAGTACTTCCATGTTAGTTTCCATCAGTGAATACTCTGGATTCTTCATTTGCATGAATACATATTTTTCACTGTTTATATTTATGAGGGTCGTTCGTTGTGCACCCATGATGTTACACGACTTTCAACAGATGGCTGTAGCGTGGCCCACGGTGACTTTTCAGAATGCCGATGTATGCTACTTTTATAAGCTTATCTTACTGGTATTCAATCTGTGCTTGTCGCTCGTCAGGCTCGTCAGCCCGGCAGCACGTCAGTGTTTAAAAGAAAAGATGGTGGAAGAGTGCAAGTAGGTTGGGACGTGTGTGTTAAACGCGTAAGAGCGAAATGACTTTTACCGTAGATTTCTGTGTTAAGTTTACAGTATGAAGTGTGGTATGGAGCGAGGGACTGTTCTGTGTGAAAGTGACATAGTATCAGTTGTGTGGAATATAGAATTTTAATATCCTTGCTGTCTTTAGGGTCTCTAGTTCTAATCGTGGTAAGTACCGAAATAGTATTAGTTGACAGAGTTCTTATAATTGGTTATTTCTTGTATGAGGTTATGTTATACATTTTAAAGATTATTTCGTGCATCGTATATGTGGATAATTTTGTAATAATTCGATTTTTTCTTACGTAAGCGCACTAGCGAAGTTCGTGAGATATTTTTTTATCAAAATAATGCCGGAAAAATGGTCCCAAATATTCTCATTGAAATTAGAAGTAATCTTAAATGTGTTAGGAAGCCATCCTAAAAACTACCAAATATCCCATCGTGTACAAGGTGGTATGTATCAGCGTATTTGGTATACAATACGAATGTTAAGTAGACGACAACTGATGACTGAGAAGGCTGATGTAGCGGTAGCGGTAACGTTCCAGTCCTAGGCAGGAAGTATTCTGTTCAAATCTGAACTGAGGTTTCCTGTGATATTTCTCAGCCCGTTCCAGGTGACTGTTAGGATTGTAGGTCATGACCACACCATTCCAAATCCTTTTCAGTTCATTATTCACCATTCACGCAACAACATGAGACTGTATAATTTGAAACACTGATAACATCATAAAAAGAATAGTGATCTCTTTTTTGAGCAGTCTATCTCACCACTAATGCTGTATTAACAAGCCACTTTTTTGATGTCCTAGCATGTGCACAGTTGACAATTACTGATAATTTCTCTCTAATATCTTGGTGGGTGTAAGTTTCAATTGACAGATAGTATTTTCTTATGTGAACACTATAAATACTGTTCATCCTTTATTTATAAAATTTTGTAACCTGATTCATCCAAGTAAAAATACTTCTAATCATAGTGCTGATTCCCATTCAACACCATGTTAGGGTTGTAGACTAGAGCCAGTATTTGTATAATGAAGTATTATATTTTTATTTAAATGGCTGAGTGATTGTTCAGTGTGTGAAGATGTGTAGCAAGTGAGAAGAACAACGGATGTATTCACTGCAGCTGATGAAATCAAATTATGAATATAACACATGATACAATGATGTCCCATACCAGGTCGTTTTAGTAGTAGTCCTGTGTCCAAGTGGTCATCCAGTGCTGCATGGTGGGCACTTTGTAAACCTATATTGAATATTTAACACCTGTGTATGGAGCAAGAAGTCATATTAACTGCATTAAAAGGAACAAATTTAAAAATGTATTTAAATTTATGCTTTGGCAGTGTAGGAATATTAGCATAATTTAATATCAGTACAAATGGTTCTGTGGACTGTTACATGTTAAAACATTTGGTACATAACATAAGTAATTATATAGTATTCAGAGACTTAATAAAGCACCAAAAAATTTACAGTCAACAAAAATGCTAGTAGATATCAAATAACTGCATGATATTCAGGGGTTTCTTAAAGAATGAGTCTCTGATATTTTTTGAATAAAATTTCTTTCTTTGCACATTGTGATAACTGGTTCTTTGTATCTCCATCCCTTTTCTGCAGGAAATTTGCATTAAGACATTTTTGCAGTAGTGATAGTGGGTTGATAAAAAGCTGTAGTTTTATCCTAGTACATTATCCTTATCAATGTAAATCAGAATATAAATGTGTCACAGCATTGGCCTAAGTTTATACTCAGGTCGCGCATGACAGTGATATTAAAGAACGTGGGAAATTAGGATGAATACTGTGTGCGATTAATGCTACTAGCGAATGCTTGGGATGTATTATAACATCTCTGACTATAAGATTCGATTATTTGTCACTTTTCAAGTAAGTTGCAAGATACAGTACAATTCAGACAGCTGTTCTGAATGCTGCTCACATCGCATAACGGGAACGACCGTGAAATGTTACGAAGTTCGGTCCTATAAATAGAAGTACGGTGTGAATTGCGTTTCCGTAAGTTTGTACGTTTTGCTCTGCTTTTCAAGTCACGTGTATAGATCCGTGGCGACAAACTTATTAGAGGAGGTGCCCGTCTTGAGTTTCCAATTGCAATTATTTTTGCTGAGTTCGTAGACAAGTTTATTTGGGCAAAACACGACGTTCTTGGTTCGAAAATTTGCAGTTTCGAACCCTGTTTAGATTTTGGATTTGTTGTACGTTTAATTCGTCTTCATCTCTATATTGCTTTATAACTTTGCACATGTTTTGAAGCGCGTAATCTTGACCTAGGCAAGACTAAGTTTGGAACTTCCCCATATACAGTGTGTGGCCTAAACATTTCATATTTGGAAAATCCTTTCTTAGGGTAACATATTCTGATCATGTCCAGGAGTGACAACAGTTCGAGTATTTCCAGGTTAGAAGAGCATGGTGTGCATCGTTTATTTAAGCCCCAGTTGTACGTTGCCGGTGCTGTAATAGTGGACATTTGCGTCGAAATGACCATATCCAAGTCTGACAAACACGTCAGGGATGGGGGGAAATTGGCTCTTCCGTAATGCGTTTTATTTTAAAACTTTCGCATCTTTTCTCCAGTGCTTCAAGTCAAAAATGTATTATTTGCTGTTTGCATTACATGCATAGGTCCGAATGTTGACTGTACGAACCATACAGACTCTCGTTCCCATTGCGAGATGCCAGACCTACATCGCGGTCGTACCCGTCTCGGACGATTGTGGAATTTCGTGTACGCATACAGATGAGCACACAGCACGTATTAAAGAATCAATAAACACTTGAGGAAGTTACCTTGGTTGACAAATCTATAAAAGTATTTCGTGAACTCTAAAATAATCATTCAATAAAACTGTTATGTGTAACTTGTTGATCAATAGGAAAAGTGTTGGTATGATAGCAGTCGTTTTCTTAACAACATTCATAAAATGAACACACAATGGCGAGACTATTTCATTTCACATGTTTCATCTTCGAAAACTCGCCGAACTCAGGCGAGGTTTGGTCTTAGGGCCCGGCACTAAGCGCGAAGCTAATTTAATCTTGATTATAATTGATCCGTTACAACCAGTACTTTTGTGCACGAGGATCAGAGAGAACTTAGGATTTTCGGCGAAGCGGCTGAGAAATGTTAGTAAATTTTCTAAATAAGAAAATGCCATTAGAAGTCTACTCCTAAAACGGAATAGTTTCCATTTTCACGACCATAGATGTCTTTACTGGCGATGACCTTCTGTATCCGCAGTCACAAAATGCGCAGCAGCAGCAGCACCAGTTGCTGGCAGGGTGTACTGAATCAGAAGGAAAGCCTAATGCTTCGGTTTTGTCCTGAGACATGCAAAATTATGCCAGGTGTCTCTGTGTGTCTTATCTTTGCGTATGTACGTAATGTAATAATGTTCGCCATGCGGTACGTTTCACGTTGCTACGTCGGCGCATTCGCAGCCAGAGAGAAGTGGAGAAAGAAATGAGGTCTCATTAGAAGTGTGTGGAAAGTTGGTGCTTGAGGAGGCGGGGCGGGTGTAAAACTTTGTGCAGCTATAAATGACGTGCATTGACTGATAAATGACGAAGTCTCCCCAGAAATATCGCTGATGGGTGTTTCTATTCTTCCCACCTAAAACAAAACACAACACATCCATGCGTCATACTCGTAGGAACTTGTGGTTAAATCATACTGTAATATAGAGGGGTTCTTACCTTTATTGACCTGTTCACGGATCAGTCATTGAATCGTCTAGCTCAAAAGACTGGAGTGTCTAAGTGGTGCAAGAATGGCAACACAGTTGCTCAAACTTAGACCCTATAAAACAGTAGTAATCCACACACGTCTTGCAGCCGCGCGATCAAGCTAGCAGGGTTCATTTTTTCAGTTTATTTCTAAAGTCTGTCGTCGAAGGTGAGATCGATCCGCAGTTGACATTCTTTTGTGATGAAGCGTGGTTCCACTCGCAGGGATACACAAATACGCAAAATAATCGCTACTGGAGTTCACATAATCCACATCTGACCCACGAAGTCCTGCTCCATCCAGTGAAAGTTGGTATCTGGTGTGACGTAAGTGCAAGGATTGTTGAACCTGTGTTTTTAACGATTTGCGTAAAATATGTACATGCCATTCTCGGGAAATTCTTTCCAGAGTTAACAGAAGCAAAAGGACCCTATAGCTGGTTTCAGTAAGAATCAGCTACTGCCCACACCGCACATATGTCTTCAGGGACAGAATTATCAGCTGTGCTGTTTGGCCAGCACGTTCACCCGTTCTTAATCCTCGAGATATTTTCTTCTGGGGTTGTTTGAAGGACAGTGTTTACAACAGTAACCCCTGAAAAGAAGAGCCGGGATAGTGTAGCCGGTATAGCGACTGGCTATGGGCTGGACGACCGAGCGGTCGGCGTTGGAGTCCCGGTAGGATCAAGAATTTTATCTTCTCAAACGTCGTCCAGACCTGCTCTGGGCGCTACACAGCCTCATATACAATGGATATCAAGAACCCTTTCCTCGGGGATAAAGCGGCTGTGGCTTGAATTTGACCATTCACCTCCAACTAGTGCCGAGGTCAAGAAAATGCGAATGTCTTCATCCACTCCCCCATACTTCTTCATGGCGTGGTGCTTAATTAATTAAGCACAGGAACAGCTTTACCTTACCTTCAACCTCCGAACGGAAGAAGAACTAAAAGAAAATATTCGTAGGGAAATTGGAAATATTCCTGCAGAACAGCTTCAGTGGGTAAATCAGAACATCTTCCGCCGGTGCGATGAATATCTGCCTGTAAAGAGCCCACATTCTCAACACTTTCTTTGATCTGTGAATTGTAACTACTTAATTCAGAACGTTATCAGCCAAATTCGTATTCGCCTCGCAACCGGCCGTGCTTCGGTCACCTTGAAGCGCAGAGCCGTGAACCGGTCAGCAAAGGTAAGAAGAACCTCTGTATAAATCCCAATCAGTAACTATACTTGCGAAGTAGTAATGTTTATAGACATCCCAATAATGGTAAGAACGATTCTCCATCTCTTCGCAGGGCAATGACTAGTGTCTATTGTAACGTCAAATAACTAGGCATTACGCCCACAAAATTATCTGCGGGTTACGTCTTGTCTTTGATTAAACAGCGGTTGATGTTCTGGATA